CATATACATGGACCTAAACCATTACTACTATACAAAGCGTCCAAAGACAACCACATACACAAGCATAAGACCAGGGTTGTATACCAATCAAGTCGATTGAATTGATTGATTTGTTTCAACGCGTATTTTGAGTTGATTGGATTGAGTCGATTGACTTTTCGAGATGACTGGTTGACTGACTCGTTTGACTTTAGCGACTGGTTGACTGATTTGATTCCCGAAAATTAGAGTGACTCGTATGATTGAGTCGATTGAATGGAAAGTTCAAATAAGTTTTAGTTGACAAAAAATAATGACACCAATTGATGACACCAAAGATCACAAAACTACACTGAAAACTGCTTGTCATCACAACTGCAATATGGGGTAGATGGCCAAATAAAGAACAGGGCCTAAACAACATGAACAGCCAACGTTGACTTTCAACTGCAATAACTCAGTTATTGCAACTGCAATAACTGAACTGCTCCAATCCTGGTGATAGAACCTGGCGATGCACCTACCTTCCTTTCTGCACTCAGCAGGAAACTTTTTTTTTAAATCCAGATGATAAAGTGCAAGGCCCTATATACTAATAAAGTGTGATTAATTAATCATTCACATCTCCACATCTCCTCAGAAACAACCCACTGAACTCTATAAATATCTGAAACCCCTACAAAAATAACTGAAACAAAAGCGCCGTTTTCGTCTCGCTGATTACGTTTACGTACAATTGATAGCAACTTTGCTGCATTGCTTAATTTGCAGCAGAACGTTTGTTGATCCTTTTCTCCTGAGAGCCTAAGCATAACATATTTAATATATTTCATTTTCCTTAAAATATTTTACCGAATATTATTAAGTGTTTTTATTTCAAATGAAATAATAATTAAAACGAAATTGGTGCTGTACAACCGATTTATTTTATGATGATCTACCATACTACATGATAATCAATGACGTCATCTTACCGCAAAGTCAAAAGAAGTAGAATAAGGATTTATAAAAGCTTAGCATACTTACTGGCAAAACCTGGGCAAAACCAAACGTTTTCGTTGTTTCGCAGTCGCGCCGTGCCGTTTTCCCAGGGTCCCTGTCCTCTCCATTTCCTTTTAATTAATCCTCATCCATATCCCCCAGTCCAAACAGTCTCAAATTGTATTGGAATACAATGTTTTGAATTCTTCACATAGGTACCTAACATTGACATGCCACGTCCAGAATCGTGGACCGCTAAATCCTTCAAATCTCTTCCTCCCCAATCTGACAACATCCCATGTCTCAAATGCACATTGTGTGGAATGATTTTTCAGGCTGCCCGTCAATCTCTGTCTAACCGAAACCGTCACATGCATGATGCAGGTAAGATATTTATTTCTATTTCCCTATGGTTAATATGTTATTGATGCATATTATCCATTAAAATAGACATGATGTAGGGTAAATGGCCAAATCACGAACACTGCCAAAATCCGAGCAGCCAACATTCAACTGCAATATCTGATATTGAGTGTAAATGGAGTTGGAATATGGTCAAAATTAAATTGACAACGTTTAGGTGAAAGGTGGTGATTTGGGTTAAGGGGCGAGTCAACTACTGGGTCATTTTGCACCCAATAAATGACACTTCTGCTCCAATTCTACCCATTGAACCTCAATATCATGATCCACCTGTCCATCACTAGGTATCCTTCCTTATTACACAGAAAGTTTGAATGGCATGGCAATTAATAATTTTAAATGACAATATTTTTATGTTTCTTCTGTAGGTAGGTAGGTAGGTAGGTAGGTAGGTAGGTACACCAGACTGCTATGGACACTTTTCCAAGTTGGTGGGCCAAAAAACCTAATGTATGTCTTGGTTTGAGTCGTTTGATTGAGTTGATTGATTCCTTTCATTGTCGCATTTGAGTCGATTGAATCAATTCCCGAAAACTGCTCTGACTTGATTGATTTGATTGGTTTCCCAAATTTGTCGTGATTGAATTGATTGCTATTGATTGAGTCGTATACAACCCTGCATAAGACGGCTTGCAAGTCTTGCAAAGAAAAACAGTTGAATAATCCGACGGCTGAATAGAGGTGAGACTAAATGCTTACTTCGAAATCTAAGCTGCCTTGCGGCATTGGCGGTTATGTGCGGCGTGTATGCCGCATGATTAGTAAGCGGCGACCACTAAATTAAAAATTCAATAGCTTTGACCTGTTTTCAATGGATAACACTGCATACCAAAAATGTCCATCGCTCTCGTCATAGGATATTTAGATTTAAATAACTAACTTATCTACATCATTGTTTTGAACCAAATTAATACTCAGCCGCGAACGTATAAGGTATAACCCCTTGCCGTTTCGCTCCTGATCAAGCTAGAGCTTCGCGGAAAAAACGAGCGTGTTGCCCGTGACGAGAGAAAGCCGATGATACCCAATTTTAAGGTCCTAGGTCATCGGTTGACCTTCCAGGTCAGGTCAATGACCCAAAAGGCGGGAAAATTGGGACCTGTTAGAACGTCGTAGTGTGGCTGCTATGGGGTTTTTCGGGGTGCTGATCACGAATATCATGCTAGTTTTGATCACAGATGATGTCTTCATTCATTTAGGCCAGGTCGGGTTAGGTCAGGTCAGGTCAACCAGTAGAGGTCCTGCCAGGTATTTGTAGTAGGTGTCAACCGCCTCTGACAGCCTCGTAACATGTTACGAAGGCACCAAAACTACTTTGTAAACGTTCATGTGGTTGCTTAATTCGAATTCAGCTCGAAAAAACTGACCTAGAAACATGTCAAACTCGAAAAAGTGAACCGAGGTCACCAAAGGTCAATGACCTGACCTGACCTTCAGGTGACCTTGACACCCACCCTAATGCATGGGGGCAACATCATATCACATGTTTGAACGCTTGAAACCACGAAAAGACTGCAAACGCGCTGCTAATGCGAGCCGACATACGCTGAATCGCGGTTCCGGCCAAACATGGTCTCGAAAAGTAGGTCACAGGTCAAAGGTCATTTGGGTCAGGGTCATGAAATTTTCAGGATGGGTGTTAAATTGATCAATGCGAGGGTACTGAAAGTGTCGTCGCGATCAGCCGCTTTTTAAGCGAGTTATTCGCGAAAAACCTTAGGGGGGTTGCATCAACCCCCCCCCCCCCTGTGCGGGCGAGGTCATGTTTTGATAGCAAGACTGAAACAGACTTTTTTGGGTAGCCAGGAAATCGCATGCCAGAGCCTATTCAAATTCTTTTATCGGCCTTTATATGCACCAGTCGCATACAGGTACGGGATTTAGCATACGATTTCCAGACAATCGAAAGACTGTTTGGAGACAACAAAGGAAGGAATGAGTAAGTATTATTATACTATTAATACTCACTTAAGGCGGCCGCACACTGGGCCATTCGGCGGGCGAGATTCCGCAAAAGCGGAATGTCGCGGGCGACATTCCTACAGCGGCTTTCCGCTTGTTTTTAGCAGTTTACAGGACCATTCGGCGGTGCGATTTTCTACTTAGTATTTTCAGGAACTTTATCAAAATGAAACATTATCATAAATGAAACATTTTATGATAAATATAAACGAATGCAAACTAAATATATTAGCTTATTTAATGCGATTATGCTATATTTCTGTACAATAAAGTTTTGAATATCTATTAAAGGGACCCTCCCACCTTTACATTAGTTTTGAGTTGAGATAGCCAAATTGGTGGCCAATGCCTGCAAATACCGGTTTGGGCACTCACAACATCGACAAATGCTTTAATTCGGAGATATGGAATTTCAAACTTGCAGTTTCCGGATTCTAAGGGGCTAGTGCATTGGTATGCCCCCTTAGAATTTGTGACGTCAGCGGAGATCTAACGATTTTTAAATCTTTTACTAAAACGTTTGGTAGCACGCGGTGGTATATGCTGCTTTGCGCGCAACAAATGCCGCACTTTCAAATAAAGTGGCTAGGAACAGCGGAGATCCCAAAAAGTAAACAAAAGTAAAAGTCTAATATCTTGAAAACCGGTGAATATTTTTCGATGAAATTTGGTAGATATTCGTTTTTGCTCTTTCTGAACCGAGCGACATCACTTTCATGCCAATTCATTAACTTTTTTGAAGGTGGGAGGGTCCCTTTAATTTGACATAAATTCTGGAGGAAGTTGCAAAAAAATAAAGCTCGTGATTAATGTAAACAACCGTGTTTGTCGACAAATGCAAGAAACCTAAAGACAATTGTGGAGAGGCACATAGTAACCCATTATTGGAATAACCAATGAAGTGTATAAAAACCATTTAATATGGGGAAAGAAGTGCCGCTACGATTTTTTATCAAGTGAAGTCCATTTCTCGGCTGCTCCATCAATAATTGGTGAGTTTCAAGTTCCACAATTTCGGGTGTCCGCGGCGTCGCCGCGGAAAAAGCTGAACCGGTCCAGCTTTTTCCGCAACTCCGCGGCTGTTCGCGCGCATGCGCACTCTACCCGCGGACAGCTAGCTGGCAGCGGTCGGCTGATAATTTTGTCGTTTCGGCAGCTGATTCGGCGTCCACGAAAGCGTAATCTCGCCACGGAATTGCGTTTTTGCGGAATGTCGCCCGCCGAATGGCCTAGTGTGCGGCCGCCTTTATTACTCTTATTATTATCTTACTCACTCTTATTATACTATTATTATAATGAGTATTATCATACTATTATAGTGAGTATGAGTTGAAAGTATTAATTTGGTTCAAAATGATGATGTAGATAACCTAGTTATTTAAAGCTGAATATCTTATGACGAGAGCGGTTGGCATTTTTGGTATGCAGTGTTATTCATTGAGAACCGGTCGGAGCGTTTGAGTCTTTAATTTAGTGGTCGCCGCTTACTAATCATGCGGCATACACGCCGCACATAACCGCCAATGCCGCAACGTAGCTTAGATTTCGAAGTAAGAATTTAGTCCCACCCCTGAATAGTGCCTACAGAATGCGTTTGCATGAGCGCATTAGCATGCGACCATATAAGAGACCTGGCTGGCGGCCCGGGCGGTTCGACTCAGACGTCTATCGGGGTGGTAGTGGACGGAGCTCGCACCTCGGAGCTAGGAGTTATGGGGCGAAGGACCTTGCCCTCCACCCTGGTGATAGGGTTCGTCCTCCTGGTGGCGGTCCTGGTGACGGCATCACCATCTCAGATTCACCACCATGCAGACGGAAGTACGGATGGCCGACTGAAGCGCAGGTATGATTTTGTGGATATGGTGGGGTGTGAGTTGGTTTTGAATGAAGGATATGGATCGGTGAAGAGGATTGTTAGGCATATGTTGAATGTAGAACATGCAATAACGTGGACTCTGATTTTTCTATTGCAGCATTATTTTTATGTTATGAAAATTTGATCCATACAGGTACAAAGAACATACATTTTATTACTGTCGACAGCAGACATCCTGAGTCTGATATGACAAAAGTAGTTTCAGCAGTCTGTTTTTATAGGAAATAAGACTTTTCATGTACAGTCTGTCTTAAAAGTACCGCGCAAAGTGACGGTGGATCCATCAAGCCTGACGGAGAAAGGGCTGCTTTAATTTGAAAGTCACCGACCAACTGACCTAGGGAATGGACGAGGATGTCCATTGCATCGGTGACCCAAATTTAGCAGGCCCTTCTTCTGTCAGGCTCGATGGATCCGCCGTCACTTTGCGCGGTACTTTTAAGACAGACTGTACATAAGTTGTACGTTGTCACCACATTATTACCTTGTCAAACGCCACTATATTCGCGTTTTATTTTCAAGCCCATGACTTACAAAGTTGTGTTGCATTTACGATGTTGCAGCCCCGGTCAGCTGCAGCTGCTGAACGGACCGCTGGGTGCTGAGTACAGCGGGGCGGAGGGAGATGTCGGGGGCACTCTGTCGGATGGCTGGAGGTCAGACGCCCTGCACCTCCCGTCCACCGACCGGCAGCTGCTCTCCACCGGCCGACAGCTCCCCGGACTTAGTGGACTAGGTTTGCTATACAACGTAGCTGTAGGCATCATAGGCACCGTCATAGTCGGCATCGGAGCCACCGCCGCAGCCGTGTACGTAGCTCAGAGTCAGGAAGAAGAGTCTACAACAGCCGCGCCCACAACCACGACCGTGCCGACGAAGCCGAGCTTTCCATCACCTCAGCCGACCACTCCACCATCGACAGCTTCGACATCTTCAACGGAGCAGCCGCCGATACCTCTACCTATACCGGGCTGAGTGCAATCCTATGCTGCATATGCATAAGGAAGGCATATGCCGGTCACTATCGTTCACAGCTTCACGGGGAATAAATCAATGTGGTTTGCACCTCAGTTATTATGTATGAGGTATATGTGTGTTTCGGCAGGCATGTCAGTTCTGCTACGCCTAGCTGTGCTACTAATGCATTAGCTTGCAATGCATTATATTTGTAAATCAATGCATGTGGATGCAATGAAACGATACCTGAAACTTTCAAGAGTCAATCGCCAGACATAAGCCTCAAACATATTTATATATTTTCTTATCTATTTACATTTTTTACGCTAAGATTATGTTATCTTCCACCAACTTTGTTAATTTGTTTATAGAGATATGTTATATTATTTAATATATCGAGGGTGCCTATAGGTATGTGTGTGCATCATGTCTTGAGCTTTGCTTTTCCTTCTTCTTCTCCTACAGAGGATATTAATTACCATCGAATGACGAACGAAAACTGTTGACATTAATGCATACAGGTTTACACACAGGTTTTGTCAAGCCTCAATCTGGAGCCTCGACTAGTAGTTTATGAGAGAGGTCCGTTTTCTACATAGAAGGCCCGATATGCATGGTACCGACCGATGCCAGAGTGAAGTTCTTCAAATGACTGTGGATGAACAGTTACGTAGAAGTTCCATTCGTGCAATGTCCACTAGGTATTCGAATCTGTTTTGTTCATGGCAAGGTCCATTTTTAATGGATGGCAATCAACCCGCACAGCCAAAGAGTAGAACAGTACGTCCCTATCCACTATATGCATCTGTATTTACAGTTCACTGTGTACCGACTAGCATGTTGTCGCCTTTATTCAATAAATGTGGGGATGGCTGATAGTAACGTGTGTCATCCACATCGACATAAGCGTGGTGCCGTCTGCGTGGCGCCGGGTGACCATCAGAGGTAAACTTTGATTGTGAATACGACCTCAATAATAACCCGTTACCCATTACTCCTACCCCTACCCTTAACCCATGATTATGCATGCGGCGAGATGAAAAGGTAATAGCTTTTGGACAAATAATGCCGGTGACAGTGCTTGTGGACAGCCAACATGTGGGTGCCTCGGTGGCAGCGGTCTGTAGCATTGCCTGTTCGCTATTTGTCTTAACCCTCGCCGGCACAGGGGGGTTTGTTTGAAACATTGCTTTGCCGGCAATGTTTCAACATAGAAACATTGTTGAAGCAACCCCCCCCCCTAAGGTTTTTCGCGAATAACTCGCGTAAAAGCGGCCGATCGCGACGAACCTTTCAGTACCCTCGCACTGATCAATTTTACACCTACCCTGAAAATTTCATGACCCTGACCCAAATGACTTTTGACCTGTGACCTCTTTTCCGAGACCATGTTTGGCCGGAATCGCGATTCGGCGTATGTCGGCTCGCATTAGCCGCGCGTTTGCAAGCTTTTCGTGGTTTCAAACGTTCAAACATGTGATTTGATGTTGCTCCCATACATAAGGGTGGGTGTCAAGGTCACCTGAAGGTCAGGTCAGGTCATTGACCTTTGGTGACCTCGGGTGACCTCGGTTCACTTTTTCGAGTTTTACATGTTTCAAGGCTAGTTTTTGGAGCCGAATTCGAATTAAGCAACCATTTGAACATTTACGAAGTAGTTTTGGTGCCTTCGTAACATGTTACGAAGCTGTCAGAGGCGGTTGACATGTATTACGAATACCCGTCACAACCCCTACCGGTTGACCTGACCTGACCTGACCCGACCTGGTCTAAATGCTTCAAGACATCATCTCTGATCAAAACTAACACGATATTCGTGATCAGCACCCCGGAAAACCACATAACAGCCACACTTTACGACTTGCTAACAGTTCCCGATTTTCCCGGTTTTCGGGTCATTGACCTGACCTGGAAGGTCACCCGATGGCCTAGGACCTTAAAATTGGGTATCATCGGCTTCCTCTCGTGACGGGCAACACGCTTGTTTTTTTCGCGAAGCTCTAGCTCGATCAGGGGCCAAACGCGAGGGGGGTCGTACACCCCCCCCTTGTGCCGTCGAAGGACGCAAAATGGCCTGTGCCGGCGAGGGTTAAAAATGACGACAATCGATCAACATTATGACAGAAAAGAGCGTGGGAAGGATCCAAGATACACCTGAAAAAGAATGCTGTTTTGTGTTTGAAGAATCGCACATGCATACATGGCAGACGACATCCTATTGGGCTTTGGTGAAACAGAGAATGACGAGAATGAATGACCTAAATTACATCGCATACAGCCGTTCGTTGGAACTTTCATTCGCGCCTTTGAGGTGACGGCAGGGACATTTGTCGTCTGTAACAAACAACCTTAGTCACGCAAGGAAAGGACGAAAGTCCGGCTATCGGACTGTTTCAGTGCGTATTGAGTAAGTAAGCTCCCCGCGCTCAGCAAGTGGTCTTCATTCGTCCGCAGTCCCAGCGGGGATGTTGTGCGGGAACGGCATGGCAGCGGGAATAATAAGCCCGCCAACTGAATAGCGTTCATTATTTATGTGTGTGTATGTGTGTGGGGGGTGCGTGTGTGGGTGTGTGTGTGTGTGTGTGTGTGTAATGTGTGCCTAATGCGCAAGTGTTTGTCTAAGGCCCACGAACACGACAGAAAAAAAGTTATGCTATTCTTTATTTTCCCAGCAGCTTAAAAATTAAAAACGCTTTTCTTTTTCCTTTGCTCTACCAACTTCTTAGACGCTGGAAAGATGGTGTGTACTGCGTGGTCACGTAGTTTTTACACATTTTAGGCAAAAACCGTAAGCCGCACCATAGAGTTTCTGCGTTCCTGCGCTCCAGGATCAATCAACGACTATCCCACTGAAAAGAAGCGCCACCAGGGGCACTAACAGCCTGCATATTTCTAGTGCTGGGACTTCAATTACTCGTCCCGGGTCATACGACTACGAGCATATGCAGGCAAGCAGTAAATGTATTCAGATGCGAGTTGGAGACCATTGCTAGGCTAATGAAATGCTGGTCGAGGACTTGACCTGGCATATTAAGTTAGACACAGAAGAGGTCAGTCTACAGACAATGAGGAGACACACACTGGTCCGAACGGAGTTCCGCCCGATCGTGAGGGCTGGACACTAAGAGCAGTCCCAGCGTGACTTCCGACCGTGATAACAGCAACAATAGCAGCAACAGCAGCAACAATAACAACTAAAAACAATATCAACAACAAACTGCAACGAAAGTAACTAGTTAATTTGGATGATGATGGATTAAAGTGGTGATGGAAAATTTCGAAGCATTGAAAATATTAAATCTCGCTCCCCGGCCACAAATATTTTAGCAAACTGTGTAAAAAAACGAATCCTCAAAACTTTTGTTTGAGAAGACCCCTCGCCGGCACAGGGGGGGGTTGATGCAGCCCCCCCCCCCCTAAGGTTTTTCGCGAATAACTCGCGTAAAAAGCGGCCGATCGCGACGAAACTTTCAGTACCCTCGCATTGATCAATTGCACACCTACCCTGAAAATGTCATGACCCTGACCCCAATGACCTTTGACCTGTGAGCTCTTCTCTCTGACCATGTTTGGCCGAAATCGCGGTTCGGCGCATGTCCGCTCGCATTAGCCGCGCGTTTGCAAGCTTTTCGTGGTTTCAAACGTTCAAACATGTGATTTGATGCTGCTCCCATGCATTAGGGTGGGTGTTAAGGTCACCTGAAGGTCAGGTCAGGTCATTGACCTTTGGTGACCTCGGGTGACCTCGGTTCACTTTTTCGAGTTTTACATGTTTCTAGGCTAGTTTTTGGAGCTGAATTCGAATTAAGCAACCATTTAAACATTAACGAAGTAGTTTTGGTGCCTTCTTAATATGTTACAAAGCTGTCCGAGGCGGTTGACACGTATTACGAATACCCGTCACAACCCCTACCGGTTGACCTGACCTGACCTGACCCGACCTGGTCTAAATGCTTAAAGACATCATCTCTGATCAAAACTAACACGATATTCGTGATCAGCACCCCGGAAAACCACATAGCAGCCACACTTAACGACTTTCTAACAGGTCCCGATTTTCCCGGTTTTCGGGTCATTGACCTGACCTGGAAGGTCACCCGATGACCTAGGACCTTAAAATTGGGTATCATCGGCTTCCTCTCGTGACGGGCAACACGCTCGTTTTTTCCGCGAAGCTCTAACTCGATCAGGGGCCAAACGCGAGGGGGGGGCTCGTACCCCCCCCCCCCCAGGGGGGGTCGTACCACCCCCCCCCCTTGTGCCGTCGAAGGACTGAAAATGGGCTGTGCCGGCGAGGGTTAATTCATACAAAATTTTCTGAATAAAACTGACATTTCAGTGCCCCGCAACACTAATGCTAACAGAATAAGCGGTGTTTCTTCATATAAACCTTCACTAGGATGGCCGTTATTACCAGCACACCCGGCAGTCACCCACTGTGTGCCGTCAGAATCCACCGATCATTCGCGGCCTCTGATTGTCTGTGGTCCCGCAATGTGTGCGTGCCCACCGGTCACTCCCCATAGCGGTCACAAGGCCACCGTCGCTGTAACTACCCACCCCTCGGACCGTGACGCATGCGATTCTGTCGCCAGCGACGGCTCATGGCTTCCACATTTAGCATCGCATGACTCTTCATGTATTTATATGCAGGCCAGGAGTCCGAAAATAACTGTTTCATTATTCAAAATAGGACCTCCGGCGTCACAAAGCTTTATATAAACCGAAGGGTCAGGATAAGCACAATTGAGTTCACATGTCTGCTTACCGTCAAAGTGTCTGCCCACGGTGATTTTATGTCCCGGCATGTGGATATCTAGGGTTAAATTTAGGTAGCATGACTTGTTTGGGCAGCCGGTGGCGTGCAATGTTTTTTATTATTTGTTAGAATGCTGCCTGAATGTTCTAAACATTGCAAGAACAAGAAAACATTGCCAGACGCACGGTCTCAAATATCTATATGAAAAAACGATGGCGCACACTAGTTGGCACGCTCTATTACCACTGACGTATCCAGAAAGGCAGTCTTGGACCCTGTGGGGACATACCCCCCAAAAACTTCTCCAAATTCCAAAAAGTCATCGAGCTTCGATTCCTTACGCAATGCTGTGTATGTAGTTTAGAACAAACTTTTTCCGATAAAAGAGTGTTTAGTTTTCGTTTTATTGTCGAAAAACGCATTTTTGTAGATTTCGGTCTCTATTGCATTTGCCCCAAGTGCCGTAGCGCCCAGGGAGAGGGTACTTGGGGTATTTGCCTCAAGTACCTGACCCCCA